ATATATATATATATATATATATATATATATATATATATATATATATATATATATATATATATATATATATATATATATATATATATATATATATATATATATATATATACATACATACATATATATGTACATGCCGTTATAAATGGAATAAGCACGTATATTTGCTCGCTCGTTTAAGTGCGCATATATATTTCTTTATATACGATCCAAATGCCAGCCGGATCGTTCCATATAAAATTGAATTTCCATATTTGCCTTTTAGATAGATGGACAAAATTGCATTTTTTAATTTGGAACAGCTCACTTTCTTGAGCTGTAATTGAATTAAATTATTGTACTATAATTACGTGATAGATTGTATCCATATAAAACTAAGAGAAAAAGAATATTTACAATTCATTTAAAAATAAAAAGCAGATTTTTCTTCATATTTACACATCGATATTGTTCCAATATCGAATTCACTAGTTTTACTTTATTCGGTGCAAACTTCATTTTTACTCCTTTTATCTTACTTTTTTTTATTTGAAGATTTTTGCATTTGAAAATCGACGAGAAAAAAGAATAATTCCATTTGTGCTTTGTCATTTTTACTCACGTAAGAGCTTGACATAATATAGAGATTTTTCGACAATTGATATAATTGCATTTTGCCAGCACGTTACATAAAGAATTTTGTTCAAAATATCAATGTCAATTTTATGTTAATGCTTTGAATTACACATTAAAAAATTATTCCTAGAGAGATTTGTATTTCTTACAATTAGATATACAACTCATAAAAGTCTGGAACCGTGAATTTACCATTTAATTTTTTTTCTACTAGCGCATAAGTTTGAACAGGGTATAATAGACGAGCATTTTAACATACAATAAAAAGCGAACGAGCGTTAGAGTCTTTTAAAATCGCAGATCGCAAATCTGCAAAAAGAAAACAACTCCGCAATCATGCGCGATCTGCGACCGCCATTTGTAATAACGTAACTACTCCGGCACGATTCACTGCTCTAAAAACGAAATGACTCGTAAAGTCGATGTCCCGCCGCTCCGCCTTACAGTAATGACACAAATTATTATGACTAAACGCTGTCAAATAGCTTGGAACAATTGCGAAGTCCGTTAAGTCCATCTTTCGCCACTTCACTCTTGATAGACATATCTTAAAATATATCTTCTTTTCTTTTCGTATAATCAGTTTAACGCAATTTATCTTTATTTGCAATATTTTCAAATTTTTATAATTTCATTCCAGTAATAATCCGCAATAGCAGATTCGCCCTTAAAAATAAATTGCATGCACCGTACAAATCAGATGCAATATACATCTTTCACAATTTTTTCCGATATATATTTGACATATTTGAGATGTTTCTTTCTTCCGTTTCATTTTTAACGTGATCTAATCATTATTTATTAAATTTTGAAACTTTTAATATTTCTCTTTAATAATTGATAACGAAAAATTTAATTTCTAAATAAATTGTTGCATAAATTATATAAATGTAATAAATATTTCTCATCGCTTAAGTGTATCTCATATAACACATCATTTTTGCTTAATTTATTTTTAATCCTTAAATCATATTATTGAAAGAATGCTACGGAATGACGTAGTTTCAACTCAATTTGATTGCTTATAACTTTCATAAAAATGAACATATTGTAAAAAAATTTTTTAAATTAAAATACCAGATATTAAAGAATATAATTATATCAAGCAAATGTACGTATTTTTAATAACAAAGAAATTATAAGCAATGGAAGAAGTATTGGAAAATCATGAAAAAAGAAAAAACCATCAGATATGCCATACCGAGAAGACATTTAATATATAATTTATCTTCATTCGAATTATTTTTAAATTGATATTTCCGACTTTCCATAACAGTTTACAGTTAAAACTTCGGCACGCTTATAGAAATAGCTCTGCACAATCAAATATGATAAATGAGAAAGATTTTTAATATGACACATCAAGTCATATTAAAATTAGTTGATAAATACTATTCCTTAGAGAAAATGACGTTATTTGTCGTCATATTGACGTCAAAATGACATCTATACATTTGGATATCAAAGTGATAAATAACGTTTTGCTATCTAGGTCAAATGGGGTGTTTAAATAGATTGATATAATTTTCATTTAAGTAACATCCGTTAATTCTTCAACGCATCATTCCTCACGATTCGTCATAAAACGAGGTCGCATTTTCTGTTTCAGAAATCTCGCTCGAATGATCAGATAGTGACGCTGCAAGACGCAAACCTTCATGCCACCGGCATGTACAAGTGCGAAGTTAACGGGGAGGGGCCGAGCTTTAATACAGTCAGTGCCGAGGCGAGAATGGAGGTCATAGGTGAGTGGGCCGGTGTCGCGTTTAATTAATAATGCTTTTGAACGCGACCGCGTCGTCGTCTATCCTTTGGTAACTCGACTAAAGACTACGACGTGGTCGAGTTCGGCAATAGTATACTGAAAGCGAGAGAGAAAGAGAAAACCGTATCTCCTGATGAAGGAAACTACGAGTCGATACTTGCAGCTATCTTTCGTGATGTTCCATCATCCTTGACGGTGGAATGAGCCCGCTATTCTAACTGTGAATTCGCTACCACGTTTACACGTTCACCTGGCTACGATGGACCGATTAGTTCGCGAAATTAACAGCAACTCACCACCAAAGTGCTGGCGATATCAGATTACAGAGCCGTGTAAGTTTGCAAGTGTTATTGAGATTCGGTATTATTCGCAAGACAATCTAGCAGTCGGAGAATGTGGTAATTACCGAATGTCAAGTTCGCCTTATTGAAATAGTTGCACACTAATGAGATTAAACGAAAGGTAAATATAATATAAAAGACCATGGATAACTTTGACAGAGAAAAACGTGAATTGAAAGTAATCGAGAGATAATCGAGAATATAATTAAAAATAATTGAAAAAGATTGAATATTGCAATTTAAAATGTTTTAACTCGATCGTTTAATTAATATTTAGGATAAGAAATTTTTTTAATATAAATTATAATGGAAAATAGTTATATTTTTCCAAATTGCCGTGCAATGTAAATTTTATATCCATCTCTAGAAATGAAAATTCCACACTTATTATAAAAATATGCAATGTTATTATTGAAGTTATTTAAAAAATTATCATTTTAATGAATGAAATAATAGCGGAGAATATCAAATTATAAAATTGTACATGTCATATAATTATACCTGTCCTTTAATTTGAACGTTATATTAACGTAAGTTTTTTCAGATTTCCCGTTACCTTGTAACGGATTAAAAAAACAGCCATATAATCGCTTCATTGATTAGATGGACAAACAGATAATCGTTTGCTCCACTGACCAGTTCAAGCGGGTAAACGAATAACAGTTTGATTGATTAATCGTTCGGCTCTTTATTTGATTGCGCCATCGAACGCACGTACATACGCGTCCGTGCGGAGTTACAAATTCATCAATAATCTGCACTGAAAACGTCATCTGCCCTCTTTTTTTTTGCTTGTCTGTTATTCATTTGTTATTTGATCTCTGTGTATTCTGCGATTTCTAAATGCGAGCGCTTTTACCAGCTACATGATACAGCGGCGAAATACAGCATCGATATGTGTAATACTGCAAATATGACAGATTTTGTCCCGTGACAAAGCAAAGTATGAAATAGTAAACGCGGCACCGGACACGCGCGATTTCTGGCATATTACGCTAATTTTTTTTTTTCAAGATTACACTTTCGAATGTTGATCGCAACGAACGTGACTTCCACGTGACGTTTCGGATATTGACTGATCAATCCATGATGGATACCAATCTGTAGGTGCGTATGCTGTTCTTACGAGGATCAAAGGAAACGTATCTAATTATCTCAAGCACACGTTAGATGCGGTATCCGTTGCAATAGGATTATCATACGGTCAAAGTGGGCGCGATACATGGTACATAGTGGCTCCGAGTTGGATATTAACTCACCTCAGCGTGGGTGGTACGAACAAGAGAAGGTAGACGCGATTACGAGGGACTCGCCCCGCTATTGGTAGACGTAATCGTCTTATAATTATTTCGCCACAATACACTGTCTACCTTTCGTAAATGAATATAATTCGTGAACGGCAAAGTGTGGGCTGCGGTGAACGGATTTTAGAATTATTGCAGGAAGAAAATACCGACGAGAGATGTAAACAACAATATGTACATTAAGCGCATTTATTCTTCAGTTAATTCTTCAAACGGCTATCCGCTCGCGCGGAAGTTACGTTGCACGTAACAAAAATAATTTCGCGTATGTCGTTAACAATTCAATAAAGGAGATACATTTAAAAACGGACGTGTAATTCGCTGGCTGAAATGTAATTAATAGAATTTAATAATTTTATATTTTGTTTTGTCAGTACCAAAAAATATAAAGCATGCAATAAGAGCCTATGGGTCACGAAAACAATTTTGATTGAAAAAATAATTACTTTTTATATGATATAAATAACAGTTTAACCCCCCGCACTCTCAAAAATGTTCTCATGCAATCGCGTTACATAAAAATATACATATTCATATGTTTAATTGCGAGATGTATATTATCAAATGTGTTTGGAATATAACTTATATATTTCGAAAAGAAAATTTATCATCTTTATTTACTAATAGTGAAACTTTAACAAAAATAAGAAAAACAATCTTACATTTGATCAGAGTTGATCTTGGTGATTAATAATATGTAAATTTTTCAAATTTATTTTTTGATTCTAACTGCGCGCTGATTCAATTTATCGGAATTGAAATGCAATCTTAAATTAAACCTGAAATAATATCATAAATTAAATTGACTGTCAGTTTAATGTTATTGCTAATAAATAATTTAAAAATTAGAGGGTACTCCAAACTTTTGAGAGGCAGTGTATATTATTCAAAGCATCAAATAAATGATGCAAAATCGCGTGATGATTGGTTTTTCTTAGAAAAATTTAATATAGAAATGTAAAATTAAGTACTTATTTTGACTATCAAAAATATTGAACTTTTTAAATTCTTCAGAAATCTAGAATCTTTAAAGAATAAAATCTCACTCTTAAAGATCGAAAATTCTGTCACTCTTTTCAAGACTAGCAGAATTTTCTTTAGAGTGAGATTTTATTCCAAAAAATTTAGAGATAGCGCTTTTACTTATTTTGAATATTAAAAGCGCTATTGTTTACTGCTATTAATACTCAAAATAATAAATTTTTAATATTATATTAACCAGTATTAAATTGAATTTCTATAAAGGTCACTAATGCGAGAACGAGAAAGTTAATTGCATGGGAGTCAGTATCACGCGCTTTCCTACATCGCTGAGATGTGAAACGTGCCAACTTGCAGAATTCCGAAAGAAAAAGACCACGCCGTTATTTCTCGCCGTGTCGCGTCATTCGACTTGAGAAAGAGAAAAAGGAAGGCACGGACGTGCGTTTTCGCCTGCGTTCTCACGAAGAGCATAGAATTCATCCGAGTGGCGCGCGAAGCGTGGACGTTAAAGTTTAAGTGTACATAAAGCCGTCGAAACGCGATAAATATTACGGCATCGTAAGTCTTAAGCCGTAACTAGGCACCGTCGAGGCCGCCATGGGCTACACCAAAGAAGACGGAAAAAGTGAAAGAGATTCAGGATGTTCCGCGCGCCAGCGCGAGCAAGACACTCGTTGAGGATGGAAGAAGGGTGGTAGGATAGATGGGGGGAATTTTAAGATTGTTGTAGAAGCCTCGAGGAGGCTGTCGTCGTGCCAAGTTTTGCCGGCCTGTCGGCTTTTTGTCTCTCACTGCATCTTTGCGACGAAATTTCCTCCCTCGCGCCAGCTCGCGAAAAGATCGATAACTCGCGTCGTTCGCCTTGCGACCTTTCACTCGCGATTGCAGTGAACTTTGAGCTGTGAACCATCACGAAAAATTCAGTAAGTTTTATAATTAGACATGGAGATACAAAAGTAAAATATCCGATTTTCTATTAAATGTAAAATGAGATCACAGACAGCTGGATTTTGTATTGGAGACAATCTAGCTTTTTTTACTGTCAAACGTAGCTATTCTTTTTTTCGTTTGCGTAAAAATAGATATCTGATTGCGTTTTCATAGCTGATTACATCTCACTTTCTCCTAACGGTCGAACTCTTGCACTCTTTTTTCTTTTTTTTTTTCCATCTCATTTCTTTCACTAATGTGCAAGTTCGATCGCGATGTCGAGCGAGTGCGTTTCAACGGGAGTAAGCGAGCGTGAATTATTCGAATTTATTTCGTCGCCATGCTGTCGGCAAGACGATAACTTTATTGCCAAATGTTAAAGCACGCTAAGAGTTAATTGCATGGGAACTTGCTAGTTGCTCGATCAATATCTGTGTCCGCTATATATTTGTCATATCAATATTAATTATTCATTTTTGCAAGAAATTTTTTTCGACGGCATCCAAAATTCCAATTATAAATTTCAATTACATTTTTTGCTTTTCATAATAATATCATTTGTTTGTCTTTTTTGTCTATCAACTCAATAGATTTATAAAAAATTCAAAAGAATTTTCATATATTCTTCAAAAAATGTTTTTTCGCTAACATTTTATTTGAACTGATTGCAATGTACTCATGCATACTAAAATAATTTAATAGTAATTCAATTCATTTAAAATTATTCAACTGAAAATAAAAACAAATAATCCGCATTTGTCAGTTGGAAACGTTATTAACGCAGCTTCTGGCGGAAACGTCAGTTAGGTAGGATCGAGAAGATGGTTATTGTAAGACCTGGAATGACTTCGTTGAATATTCCGAACGGAGTGTCGCGGTGGCTTTAGAAGCTTATCTAGAAGATGCACTTTTATCGGGATGGTATCTTCGAGAGTGATTTTGATAAAAATTATCCGGTCGTCTTACATTAACCCACAATGGAGTCGATTTAATTATAATGGAGAAAACGACCACGGAAATCAAGTTTTAATGCACCCAAGAAATTTCATTCTGTTCCTTATGTGTATATATT